AGAAACGAATAAAAATTTCTTCAGAAATTGTAAACTATATAGCCCACTCTGTTTTATGTGATCCAATAAAAGGAATACAAGTAACCTGTCGTTTCATTTTGGCTTCATAATACTTTTTTTCTCTTTTGCTACAAGTTGATTTCTTAACACCCATCATAGCATCATACCATCCATTTCAGTCAATGGCTGGAATTCTGTCCTACGAGTATGTACACATCTGAATGACTCAAGAACTAGGTAACATAACTTTTGGAAAAAATAAGAGTGATACTTGAGATGCTGAATATAAAATGTACAACTTTATAGTATTAGTTTTCTACTGTTGCATAACAAGGTACCAGAAATTTAGCAGCTTAAGCAATTTATATTATCTCACAGGTTCGGTGGTTAGGAGTCTGAGCATGATTTAGTGGTGCCCTATGCTTAGGGTCTCAGCAGACTGTAATCAAGGTGTTGGCTGGGCTCTATGCCATTTTGTAACTTGGGAGTCCTCTTCCAAACTTAAGTGGATATGACAAACTTCAATTCCTTGCAGTTGTTGCTGAGGCACTCAACTTCTCGGGGCAGTCTGCAGTTTCCCGTCACGTGACCTTTTCCATAGACAGTGCACATCATAGCAGCTTGCCTTTTCTTTTAGGCCAGCTGAGAGTCTCTCTTGTCTGCTAAGACAGAGTCTATAATGTAACTTGCTCATGGGAGTGACATCCTGTCATCCTTGCTATAGCGTGTAACCTAATAAAAGGAGTGGCATCCTACCGCTTAGCCATATTATCTTGGTTAAAAGAAAGTCACAGATCCTACCCACAATCAAAAGAAGTGTATTATTTTATTACATGGAGCATAACCCCAGGGGGAAGATCATGGGACTGTCTTAGAATTTTGCCTCCATGCTTACAAGCTTATTTTAGATAGAATGGCATTTTGTATATTTTAAAAAATTTATTATAATCCTATTATATTGTTAATATTAGAAGTATTTAAGCTAATGTCCTATGAAATTATTTTTTATGAATTTAAAGTCAACATTTTCTGTATAGGTATAATTTTTCTGGAGAGAATGTCAGTGGATTTAATGATAATTTTAGAGGAATTCATTTCCTTCCCCCAGCACTCTATTATGAGCTGCATGGATCTAGCCCATTTTACAGAGATCAGTAGATGATAAAAAGTGACTTGCTTATGGTTAGAGAACAAATTAGTGGTGAAATTTGAACTGCAAAAATGGCTTTCTGAATCCTGCTCAGCATTTTCAATAATAATGAAAGATTATTCAGTTTTGTTTCCTTATGTAAACATGAATAATAGATTATATTATTATACATTTATTCAAATAATTATAATGCTTATAAAATGTTTAAGTCACACAAAAACTGTATTTTAGTTTTTAAATGAACTACTAGTTGTTAACCTCTTATTTAGGGGAGCATTATCTCAGTAATTATTCTAATGTTTATTTAAAGGATATGTAGATACAAATCCATTTGGACTTAAGGCTGTCCTCATGTTGTAGAAATTATACCTTGAGCAAGGATACTGGTATAGCATGCAAATATTTTCTCCCATTCCATAAGTTGTCTATTCACTCTGATGATTGTTTCCTTGGATATGCAGAAGCTTTTTAATTTGATCAGGTCCCATTTATTTATTTTTGTGTTTCTGTGATTGCTTTTGGGGTCTTCTTCATAAATTCTTCACCTAGGCCGATGTCTATAAGAGTTTTTCCAACATTTTCTTCTAGAATTCTTATGGTTTCATACCTTAGGTATAAGTCTGTTATCCATCATGACTTAATTTTTGTGAGAGGTGAGAGGTGAGAGGTGTGGATCCTGTTTCAGTCTTCTACATGTGGCAATCCACTTTTCCCAGCACCGTTTATTGAACAGGGATTCTTTCCCCCAGCGTATGTTTTGTCTGCTTTGTCAAAGGTCAGATGGTGATATAGGGATGGTTTTCTATCTGGATTCTCTCTTCTGCTCCATTGGTCTGTGTCTCTGTTCTTGTGCCAGTACCATGCTGCTTTGGTTACTATAGGCTTGTAGTATAGCTTGAAGTCTGGTAAATTGATGCCTCCCAATTTATTCTTTTTGCTTAAGGTCGCTTTGCCTATACTGGGTCTTCTCTGGTTTCATACGAGGCATAGAATTATTTTTTCCAGATCTATGAAAAATGACGTTGGTATTTTAATTGGGATTGCATTGAATCTGTAGATCACTTTGGGTAGGATAGACATTTTAACAGTACTGCTTCTACTGGTCCATGAGCATGGTAGTATGGTTTTCCATCTGTTTATGTCCTCTGCTATTTCCTTCCTTGGTGTTTCGTAGTTCTCCCTGTAGAAGTCTTTCACCTCCTTGGCTACATATATTACTAGGTATTTAATTTTCTTTGTTGCTATTGTGAAAGGTATTGAGTCTTTGATTTGGTTCTCAGTTTGACTGTTGTTGGCATATATGAATGCTACTGATTTGTGAACATTGATTTTGTAACCTGTGCTGAATTTATTTATCAATTCTAATAGTCCCTTGGCAGATTCTTTGGGGTTTTCCAGATATAAGATCATATCGTTAGCAAAGAGTGATAGTTTAACCTCTTCTGCACCCATTTGGATGCCCTTGATTTCCTTCTCTTGTCTGATTGCTCTGGCTATATCCAATAAAGGGCTGATAACTAGAATCTATAAAGAACTCAGGAAAATAAGCAAGAAAAAATCAAACAAACCCATTAAAAAGTGGGCAAGGACATGAACAGAAACTTTCAAAAGAAGATAGACTGATGGCTAACAAACGTTAAAAAATGCTCAACATCTCTAATCATCAGGGAAATGCAAATCAAAACCACAGTGACATATCACTTAACTCCAGTGAGAATGGCTTTTATCACAAATCCCAAAATGACAAATGTTGTGGATGCAGATAGACAGGAACACTTACGCACTGCTGGTGGGACTACAAACTAGTACAACCTCTATGGAAAGCAATATGGAGATACCTTAAAGAATTGAAAGTAGACCTACCATTTGATCGAGCAATTCCACTACTGCATATTTACCCAAAGGGGAAAAAGACATTCTCTAAAAAAGACATCTGCACTCGAATGTTTATAGTAGCACTATTCATAATTGCCAAGTTGTGGAAAGAACCCAATACCCATCAATACATGAGTGGATTAATAAAATGTGGTTTATGCATACCATAGAGTACTACTCAGCCATAAAATAAAATGGTGATCTAGCACCTCTTGTATTATCCTGGATGGAGCTAGAGCTTATTTTTGTAAGTGAAGAATCACAAGAATGGAAAAAAAAAACACCACATGTACTCACCATTACATTGATACTAATTGATCAACACTTATGTACACATGTGGAAGTAGCATTCATTGGGGATTGGGCAGATGGGGGTGGGAGGAGGGGATGCATTAATTCACACCTACTGGGTGCATTGCGCACTGTCTGGGGGATGGGCACACTTGTAGCTTTGATGCAGGTGGTGCAAAGGCAATTTATATGATCAAAGCATTTGTACCCCGATAATATTCTGAAATTTAAAAAAGAAAGGATGATGGACTAAGGGAGAGTGAATGTCGAAATTAAGCCTATGCTTTATTTGCCAGTGATGCACTCTGGCATAGACTGTGTATGCGTGGAAGAAGGGGTCCTTTTTCTCATTCATCAAAGATGCTGTATGGACTAGTAGTCAGTAGCCATAGTTATACTAACAAAAATTATGCTTAGAGAAAAGGATATAAAATATTTTGTTATCCTATTAACTTTTGTTTTTCAGATTATTTGTTAAAAAAATAGCAAATTTACTCTCTAGTCCAGTATCTACTAAGTGAGAGATTTGCAGCATAATCATACAGAGATAAGAAAGAAGGACAAATACATTCATGATAGCTCAAAATTTTAGAAAATGAAAAAATTTATACATATTTGAATATTCTGTGAGTTAAATAATGCATATCATATTTTTGTACCCTAGATGTAATTATTATTAATTAATTTTTAGAGGAGGAAACTCAGAGATATTAAATAAATTGACCAGGTTTACAGAGTTATCAGATACACTCTGGTTGGAGTGGATAGCCCAAGGACCCTCTCTTTTTTTAGGTGGGGTAGAATGACTAAGTATAAATTCAGTGTGATTTCCCCATTTGCTGTTTCTTTTCAAGGATCATCATCTTTCTAAAATTACAGAATCTTCTTAATTTTTTATGTGCACAGCGCTAAGAACTCTTTGTTTTTCTATTTAAATTGTTTATTACCACTCCCAGGTGTGAAGTCCTGAATGCAAATATAAACAGTAATTGTAATTACATTCTACATGTACTTGAATAAACTGAGTAAGTTGGTTGCATATAATATAATATAATATAATATTTGAAGCATATAATTGATAAGAAAATATTGAATTTGTTTTTTTCTGAATTTAAGGCTTCTAAAGAATTTCGAAACTGAAATATATTGTTAGCATATACTAGAGGCATAATGTCCCCAACTAATTGCAACATAATGCACATATAAAAGGAGAACTATGGTGTAGTAGCTAAGAATGTGAAGTTAGAAAACAGGAGGGATTTCTATGTAGGAGTAATAATACGTGGAAAGACAAAGACTTGAGGGAACAAGAGCTGTTTAGGGAACTTCAAATGCTTGAGTATGACAGGAGTTTTGGATTAAAGAAAATAGTAGTCAGAAACCTGATAGGGACTATGTATAGATGACATCAGTAGTTTGGATTTTATTGAGTAGGGAATGAGGACTTATTGAGGAATATTAAGAATGATTCATTTGGCATTTTTTCTTGAGATTATTCTGCCAGCTATAGGAAAGACGAATTTTTTTTTTTTTTTTTTGAGACAGAGTCTCACTCTGTTGCCCTAGCTAGAGTGAGTGCCGTGGCGTCAGCCTAGCTCACAGCAACCTCACACTCCTGGGCTCAAGCGATCCTTCTGCCTCAGCCTCCCAAGTAGCTGGGACTATAGGCATGCGCCACCATGCCCGGCTAATTTTTTCTCTCTATATATTTTTTTAGTTGTCCAGATCATTTCTTTCTATTTTTTTTGGTAGAGACGGGGTCTCACTCTTGCTCAGGCTGGTCTTGAACTCCTGACCTTGAGCGATCCACCCGCCTCGGCCTCCCAGAGAGCTAGGATTACAGGCGTGAGCCACCGCGCCCGGCTGGAAAGACGAATTTTGGAGGAGAGATTGGATTTTGCAGCCAGGGGGAACAATTAGAAAGTTTTTAAAATAGTTTAACTGAGTGATAAATTATTATAGTTTGCATGAATTTATTAAAATGGAGTAGTAAATCATATTTCTTGTAATCTAAATTGTACTGATAACCAAATGGGAAGATTTGATTTTATCAAAATATTGATCCTTTCAAATTAAAATGATGAATACAGGCACACTTTGTTTTATTGCACTTCACTTTATTGTGCTTTGCAGATATTGTATGTTTTGTAAATTAAAAGTTTGTGGCAATCCTGTATCAAGCAGGTCTATTGGTGCCATTTTTCCAACAGTATGTGCTCACTTAATGTCTCTGTGTCACATTTTGGTAACTCATGCAATATTTCAAAGTTTTTCATTATTATTATATCTGTTTTAGTGATTTGTGATCAATGATATTTAATGTTACCATTGTAATTGTTTTTTGGTGTCACGAACCACACCCATATAAGATAGCACATGTAATTGATAAGTGTGTATGTTCTGACTGTTCCACTGACCTGACATTCCCCCCCCCGTTTCTCTCTTCTTCTTGAGGAGAATAAACCTCCCTATTCCTTGAGAAACAAAATACTAAAATTAGGCCAAAAAATAACCATACAATGGCCTCCAAGTGTTCAAGTGAAAGGAAGAATTGCATGTCTCTCACTTTAAATCAAAAGCTAGAAATAATTAACCTTAGGGAGGAAGGCATGTTAAAAGCCGAAATAGGCTGAAAGCCAGGCCTCTGTGCCAGAGTTAGCCAAGTTGTGAATGCAAAGGAGAAGTTCTTGAAGGAAATTGAAAGTGCTACTCCAGTGAACATATGAGTGATAAGAAAGCAAAACAGCCATATTGCTGATAAATGGAGGAAGTTTTATGGTCTGGATAGAAGATCAAATCAGCTAAAACATTCCCTTAAGCCAAAGCCTAATCCAAAGCAAGCCCCTAACTCTCTTCAATTGTAAGAAGACTGAAAGAGGTGAGGAAGCTGCAGAAGAAGAGTTCGAAGCAAGCAGAAGTTGGTTTATGAAGTTGAAGGAAAGAAGCCATCTTTATAACATTAAAGTACAAGGTGAAGTAGCAAGTGATGATATATAAGCTGCAACAAACAAATTATCCAGAAGTTCTCAAGCTGAGATAACTTATGAAAGTGGCTACACCAAACAACTGATTTTCATTGTAGATGGCAGCCTTCTACTGGAAGAAGATGCCATCTAGGACTTACGTAGCTACAGAGGGGAAGTCAATGCCTGGCTTCAAAGTTTCAAAGGACAGGCTGGCTGACTCTCGTTATAGGCTAACATAGCTGGTGATTTTAAGTTGAAGCCAATGTTTGTTTGCCATTCTGAAAATTCTACGGCAGTGAGGCATATGTTAATACATTTAGGGGAGGAAGGAATTGTTGGCAGCCATTTTTGGAAATAATCCAGTTTTCAATTTTTGTAAATGTTCTAAGGACATAAAGTAATGCACATTTTTTATTGCTAGGTATACCAGTTAGCTTTTCCTAAATAGCAAATTACTCCAAACTTAGTGAGTTAAAATGGTAGATTCATTATTTCTCTTAGTGGCTGGGTATGTTTTCTCTCTGAACAGGCTCAGCTTTATTTGATGTAAGATAGTTTCACTCATATGTCTGACATTCCCGCTGGAACATCTAGGATAGCTTCTTATCCTCCAGGAGGGTAGCCCTGGGTAGTTTATAGAAGGGCTCCCAGTAGCAAGAGAGCAAAACAAAGTTGAAAGTTCTTTTGAGGCCTAAGCACACATCTCACATGGTGGACCAAAGAAGTCACAGGCCAGCTGAGTTTCAGGGAGTGGGGCAGTAGACTCTACCTCTTAATGGGAGCTACTGCAAAGAATTTATGGCCATTTGTAGTTTACCACAGTGGGGTGTATATTCTCTTTCTCTCCCTCCCTCTGTATAAAATTGAATTAAGTCTAGTGTTATTTTTATTATTAATACCTTTGTTAGAATATAGTTTAAGCTGCTATATAAAGTGACCTCATATATTAATAATTCAATGGCTTAAGATAGAGAGTATTATTTTTATCTCATGTAAAGTTTGAGTAGATGGTTACAGCAGGCATAGTAGTTTGATTTACTTGGGACCTAGTCTTCTTACTTCTTGCTCTCATTTCTCATTGAAATTTAGAAATTTTACCAGATTTCAAATTTTTTATTTATCTCAAGGAAGTTTTATGTTCTTATTTATTTCACTGACATTTAACTTTCTTCTTCCTTTTATCCCTCTGGAACTTGTATTTGAATATTATGATTTCCAGATTGATTCTTTAAGTCTTCTGTCTTTTCTCTCCTGGCTTCTATTTGTATGTTTGTTCTGTGCTATAAGATATTTCTTTCATTTACTTTATGAGATTACTAAATCTATTCTCAGAAGTAGCCTTTCTCCTTTTCTCTTCGTCCTGAATTTTTAAATTAAAAAATCATGTTCACTTTCTTCAAAAATCTCAGGAGACCCTAATTTGGAGCTCTAATTGCATCTATCAGAGAATCCATCAGAGTTTTAATGTTTTCTTTCGAATTATTATCTGTCTGTCTCTAGTTCTGCTTTAGTAGGGGACACCTCTTTGGATTGTTTATCTTCCTCTCTGAAGTTAGTTAGGCCTGTCAGATGGTCTGTTCAGGTGTCTGTGTATGCATGCAGGTTTTCTCAGCCACCTCATTGGTCATGTATTGAGATCTCTTGAGTGGTGGTTAGAAGGTTTATTTTTGTTCCCATTATTATTGCCTTCTGTTTTTCGTAGATGCTACGTCCTCTCAAATTTCAACGAGAGTAAAATGTACATTTAAAGCTTTCTTTTGTTTCTTAAAAAACTTTCAGAAAAGGAGCGTTTGCTCTGTACTTTAAAGATGTTTTTATATTTTTGTTTGTCTTTCATTGCTTTCTGATGAGAAGTCGTCATTCAGGTCATCCTTTTGCCGTGTGTAACATGTCATTTTTCTTTGTTTTTCTCCTTTTACTTGATTTTTAACAGTTTAACTTAGACATGATCTCATTTCTAAACATCAACTTGGGGTGGGCCGAGCATCTTGAGCATGTAATTTTCACCAAGGTTGGGACATTTTTAACTATTATTTTTGAAATACTTTTTGTATCACTTCCTCTCTCTCTTTTCCTTATGGGACTGCAATTACATGTTACATATTTGATATTATCCTGCATATATGCCTTGGTATATGTTAATTTCTTGACATCTTTGTTCTTTGTATTTAGATTGGATATTTTCTATTGATGTCTTTTCAAATGGTTTGATTTTTCATATCCAATGTGTTCCTATACCCATACATTAAAATTTAAAATTCAGATATTGTAATTTTTATAGTTTATATTTATCTACTAAGATTTCTATCATTTCATTCATTATGTGCATATTTTCCTTTATAGTGGGCATTTTTATAGTGAATGCTTTAAAAGTCTTGTATGCTAACTTTAAGATCTGGATTGTTTTGTTGATTGTCTTATTTTCAAAATAAGCCTCATTTTTCTGTTTCTTCAAATTTCAATTATTTCTAAATTGTATCCTGGATATTTTGAAAAGCATATTGTTGAAACTCTGGATTCTGTTATATTCTTATGATATAACTGTACTATTTTTTAATATTTAATATATAATTAACATTATTGAATGCAAAATGCAAATTATGTATTTAGGTAGGAGCTCTAATTGCATTTCAGTTCTTTTAGCTTTTTTTTTTTTATTTCAGCATATTACGGGGGTACAGATGTTTAGGTTACGTGTGTTGCCCTTGGTTCCTCCCCCTCAAGTCCGTGTTTCAAATATGTCCATCCTTCGGGTAGTGCACATTGCACTCCTTGTGTATACAAATACCCGTCCCCTCCTCCCTCCTCCCCCCTCCTCCCGCCGCCCTTCCCCTTCCCCAGCATCCAATAGATGTTGTTCTGATATGTGCATTTATGTGTTGATTAGTTAATACCAATTTCTTTTAGCTTTTGCTAGGCTGCGTACAGTCTCCTCTATGCATATGTGGTTCAGGAGTTGGGGAGATTTGGATAGAGTTTTATAAAGAATTTGGGATCACTTATCTATGGCTCTTTTCTTTGTACGACCTACCCCTAATCTTTCCAGTGGCTATGGTTGTCCGGTACTCTGTCCTTTGGTAGTCTTCTCTCAGCTGTTAGGCTCTCTGCAGGGCTCAGATAGGGCTTGCCTTCAAAGTAAGAGCCATGAAAATGAGAATCTTACCTAGACCACTTTCCTTCTTCCAAGTGTCACTTTCCATCAAGAATCTACCTACTCTTGATTCTTTCACTGCTCTCCAGTGTTGTTATTTGTATTCTGTCCAGGGTTTATGATTGTTATATATATATGGCAGCATTTGTCCAGTACGAACTTGCTATGCCATATTAGTAATAGAAGCAAAACCGGGACTTTAAATATGGTCCTCAAACTGTCTTCTATCTAATGGAGAATTCCTGAGACTTCATGTGTAATTGAATCTACTAATTCTCACAAAGCCAGAAATATGTTTATTTTATGTTAAGGGTAGGGATTCTTCTTTTAGTTAGATTTGATATGTTTCTATTTAAATATTTCAGGCCTAGAGAAAAGGAGAAATGAAATGTTTAATTTACTGCACTTATAATTTGCCAGGTTCATGCTCAATTTGCCTGTAGAAAATCAATAGGAAGCTTCAGGTATTATCCACTATTATGTGTGAGAAATGTGCAGTGTATGCTGAAATCATCTTGGCTGTATATAGATTTTAGAAAATTGATAATTGTAAATATAAATTAAAGTTTAAAATAACAAAGTGAATACTTTTTCTCCTTATAACTTCATAGAAAGTAGCATGTGCTCTGGAAATTGAAAACAAAGTCCTAAAGGAACAACTGAAACAGGCTTTACAGGTAAAGGATGTCATGTTCCTTGAAAATTGTTAGTAAGTGAAGAAAATATTCATAAAGAAATTTTTAATTGAGTAATTTTGACTTTGTAAACTAAGCAGTCTATGTATTGTACTATTTTGCCAGCGTTAAAATATATTCATTTTATGCAGTAGGGATATATTAATAAAATTTAATATTCATTTGTATCAAAACAATAATCTATAAAGAAAAGTAAACTTTCTTAATCAAAGACAATCTATTTCAAACTGATAGACAATATACTTAAAAGTAGAATACTGCTTTTAATAATTGTTTTTCTGAAAAATGCAAGGTAATAAAGTTATTAGTGATGTAGTTAAAAAAGGTGGTTGGGGCCGGGCGCGGTGGCTCACGCCTGTAATCCTAGCTCTCTGGGAGGCTGAGGCGGGCGGATTGTTTGAGGTCAGGAGTTCGAAACCAGCCTGAGCAAGAGCGAGACCCCGTCTCTACTAAAAATAGAAAGAAATTAATTGGACAACTAAAAATATATAGAAAAAAA